CAGACAGACAGACAGACAGACAGACAGACAGACAGACAGACAGACCGACAGACAGGCAGGCAGACAGAGAGGACGAGATGGCACGGATAGGCGACAGACAGACAGACAGACAGACAGACAGACAGACAGACAGACAGACAGACAGACAGAACGTTCAAAAGATAAGACGGCAGGGAAAACGTCCAAATCGGCATGAGATCCACTTCATGTCCTTGAACTTCCCGCAGACTACTGGAGTCGCTTTCCTGGCTCCTCTCTCCTCGTGCCAACCGAGCTTTGGGTTTTATTCTCTTTTTGTGTTCTCTTCCTCTACATATTGTAGCCACTCCAGGGGAACGCTGGGTACGAGAAACGCGCGGTCGGACGCATCCACACAAGCCATTGCCCCGTTTATCTCCGAGAACAAAGCTTCCCTTCCGTATGTGCACGAGAGGTGTTGGGGGGTGCTCTGTGTGGTCCTGGCAACGACGGCGGGGACGAAATCTCGGAAGTGTTTCACTTGGCATCGATGATGAATCGGAACAGTCCTCGGCTGGAGGGACAGCATAGAAAGCACGTCAGAGCTTGTAGCAACAAGAGCAGGAGCGTACGCTAATTGAAGGAAACGCCCTCCATAGGCACCAAACAACAGCACTGCACGCCGTTTAGGGTGCTGAATCCCTCCTCGGTAAGGGTTAGGGCTAGGGTTAGGACTCCATCCGGGGGGGTTGCGAATAGCTCGTACATGCCGCTCTGCCTCCATCACCACCGCTGCCAGCTTCGTTCGTCATCTAGGCAAAGATACAGTCGCCCAATATTTAGTACCTGCAACTCCGTGCATTTTTCTTTCGCCTTGGAAAAGGAGAAAGCGGTCTCCCTCGACGCCCTTGCCTCATCGCCCCCGATTCTCAGGTAGCTGCTAAGGACTTTGACCTCTTTTTGCAGGGACTCTGCCCTCCTCTGGCGGCACCGTGTGGGTAGTGATTGATGATCAATGACTGGGGCACTTGGTGACATGAACAAGGTTTGGTGATATTCTCCATGATTCGCCCTGTGTTACGTCTGTGAGAGACGTGCTATCGGTTTTTAACGCTACGGAAGTGCATTCTGTGGCCCTGAAGCTACTGGCTGTGCCCTAGACTTTCGTAGATGCAACACATCACAGAGCGGAGCAGGTCGACTGGGACACAGCCAAGGATCGAAACAACGGCGTTTTCATCCCCAACACCAAGTCACGAAAAGTCTCCACGAGCCAGATCAGGCGGCGTTCTTGTTATGAGTGCAACCGAACTTTTATGCCGATCTAAGCATCTGTTGTTTTCCTGTAACGCTGTCGGAATCTGATGACAAACCCATTCTCAGCCGAGTTGGCTCTTGACTGCGCGGACGGCGAAGCACGTAGAGCACGCTACAACACATGGTATTCCGTGGAAATTGTGGCATGGTTTACCTGCGCATCTCGCCACCTCCGATGTAGTAGCACAACATCTTCGTAGTTCATCTGGGCAGCAAAGGAAAATTGAGGTTTGATTCACATGATACAGGCAGTGGTATCACAAGCATGCGACCTGTATCCAGCTGGGCAACAGCAGGCGTGCATGATGGCTAATAAGAGAGCTACAGCAAGTGTAGGAACGTGTAGCCCAGACCACGGATATTGAAGGTAGAAGAGTACTGAGCAGAGATCGGGACGATTTTCAATGTGAAGATGGCAACTACCGATGAATCTTTGCAGGCGTGGGACAGCCCTCAAATTAACGGCAGCAGGTCACGCGAGAGCTACATGTAAGTCTACAGAGTAGTCCATTGCTTTACTGCGGTGTACGTACACTTTGCTGTGTGATCAATAAATACAAGAGGCGGTTGATACCTGCTGTGGCAATTGCTGCTCGATGTGATGATGACTGCCGCGATTTGGCGAAGCTGACCCGGATCTAGAGCGCGGAGAGAGCGAGCCCTCACGCGTGACCACCACATTGAGTCTTCCCGTTCTACTAACCCTAGCCATAACGATGGCAGATGGTTGTCAAAGTTTTTAAGGTGGAGCTGAAAAGTAGACTGTGTGGGCCATGTACAATTCAGCTTGTGGTACGTCTGTGGATGTACTTGGTCCCCACGCCCACGGTTTTTGTGGACAACCCCGATCTTTGAATTCCACGTGCCTACGCTTATTATGTACGCCGCGGTCTATTACTGAAGTCTACGTAAATAGAGATATGCTAACAGGGTAATACAAAAAGTACGTTCACGTGGTTGACGAGTGGTCGTGATCATAGAGTTGGCCCGCACTTCGGTTACATTGTTTTTGTACTTGAGCGGGAACAAACAACAGCGGTTCCACCGCAATCACCTGTGCGGGATCAAGGGGGCAAGGTAAAGAGTACCCTATATATGTACCACCTATGGCACTACTGCTGCGTCTGGAGAGTAATAGCTAAGGGCTGTGCTCTTGCTGCGGTCGCTGGCTTTCGCTAGCTGAACGAGTTGGGACTCATTCAACCCGGTCTTGCTGGGTCTCTGCATCTCGACTGCTGTGGGAGGTAACATCAGCAAACCCACGGACGCGCACGGCCATCTTCGCTGGTGATAGATTACGGCCAAACCGCACAAGGTATGACACACGTTGTTCTGTAAGGCAAATCTGATCGAGTATTCTGATGTGAACCCTGAAAAACAACAAGATGATCTAGACACTTCTATATTCCAGGTCTGAGGGTTACGTTGTTGGTGGGTGGCATCTTCGTCCCCTGGCGGGCGGAGGAAAATCCGAAGAAACGTGGTTCACTTCTTTGCCTATAGATAGATGGATGACAGCAGTCGTCGTTAACGGGGGGTAAGAGTGGCATACCAATTGCAAAAACAAGTAGATAGTCGACATCATGTTTTGGAACATTGTGGAAAACCTAAACCTGCGCGCTGTGGAACCCTCGTCCAATCGAGGGACTTCGTTTGTGCTCTGAGGAGCCTTCGTGTTAGTTTCCTAACTTCAGAGATACAAGACCCTTGGTTGACAGCTCTTCACTATTCAAGACTGACCTCGACGAGGCAAGCCACATGGTCATCGTCGAAGTCACGCCGCATTCCTCTTCATATACGTCACACGTGAACCGGCACTTATTCCTCTAGAACCAATCATGTACGATCTTAACAAGGTTTTCGTGTGATTGAGAGCGAAGTTTCTGATTGAGAGCGAGATTGCGCGATGCGCTGTAGCTGGACTACCGCTGAGAGGTGGAGCTTGCTGCGTGACTTGAATTGAAGGCCTAGCCCGTAGCTACAAGCCGATACCCTGGTCATCCTGTGGGCGTCTCTCGTTGTGGAGCTACAGCGGGGAGCAGAATCTACAGCAGAGCTCACCGCCCGCGATCAAATCGCCCTGAAACAGTTTGAGGCAGGAATAGCCAATCTGGGGAAATCTAGCAACTTGTCTAGCTCCTAGCTGCAGCATCCGATCGCGATGACACGCATATGCTCGTGACGCTGCTGATGAGACCTTCAATTTGCGCCGCTTCTTGGAAGAGCCCGCCCCCTACTTCCCAAGAAATGGCAAGAGGCGTCTGGACCCGAAATTTCATTATTTTTGGCTCCCGCTCTCAATCGTATACTCCGCTCTCAATCAGGCGAAAACCCTGTTTCTTGTAAACTGCCACAATAGTTCTGTGTCCTACTTTATTCCACAGCACCCTCCAAAGCAACGTACTACTTCAAAGTAGACCTCTACGGTAGCTTGAAAACAAAAAAAAATCGACACTAACATTGCGTCATGCCACTCATATATGCGCTGTGAATGACAACGATCTCAGCCTCCTACTATAATAACGCCATTACAACGTTCTCCTCCGTAAAATATTAATGAGAATACTTTACACATGAATCCGCCAGACTAAAGTTCGATGCCATATTCCGACTGCAACCTAGCACGAACGCCTTGGTCAAGACCCATCTTACGCAACTCCAACCTTACGAATTGCGGAGCGTCTGCCCATATCTTGTCCAACGGCTCCCAGGTACTTTCATCGCGCTCGAATCCGACCCATTCTACCTTGACTTGTATTTTCCCGTCCTCGTTAGGATTTGCACCAATGCCTACAGACAGTAGCAGACATCGCGAACTCGCCCTGTGTGTACGCATGCTGAAAAACATGCTTCAACTCGGAAGTCAATTCCAACTCGCTATCCGAATGAAACCTTAGTCGAGCCACATGCACGTCGTGTACGTCTGCTGAAACGTTGTTTTGCACTCCCTATACATGCTTTCTCTTAGCCTCGACCACTTTCCATGGACCTGTCCACGTCATCATGAGTTTCGACGCCGAACCAGGTCTACGCACCCGCGCCCTGGGCACGAAATCACCAACCGCAAAATTAGGTAGCTCGCCTCGGCTAGCATGCCCCCGTTGTTTTTCACGAGTATGTTTGACCATTTCCTGCACGTGTTTATGCATTTCCTGTTGAACAGCCACTACATCAATCACCTTTCGTTTCAGCCCTTCGTCATCTAGCACGTCTATTTGCCCCTCTTCTCCATTCGCGGACGCTAGCGTGGAAAAACTAGTTCGCGGTGCCCTACCAAACATAACATGATACGGTGTGCTCGCATAACGTTGACGATAAGCGGCATTCAGTGCCCACTTTCAGCCGGGACCAAATCTACCCACTCGCGGAAGTCGCGCCTTTCTTCCTGCAAGATCGCCTTCAAACATCGCACAATTTCTTTCAATATGCGTTCTACAATTTCGTTACTCCGTGGCATATTTGCTACCGCGAATTTGTGCTTCACATTCAGAGCTTTGTCGAGTTTGTTCTTGATTTGATTCTTAAAGAGCGATGCGGTATCGCTGACCCACATCTGTGGAACACCCAAAGTCTTACACCAGTTGAGAAAAATCTTGGCTGTTAGAGCGGACGTGCATGACTCCGTTGGTTCTAACCACACGAAGTTGCTAAGATCATCCATTACCACTAATATGTATCTGAATCCAACTCGTTCATCCAAGCCATCGACATTCAACGGCCCACTCTCTCCAACATACAGATAGTCACAATGAATCACTCTTCTCGGCCTTGTACCATGCACTGTTTCCCCAAGCGGCCTTGGAATCATTTTACCCGCCCTCGAATCTACACAATGCAACCACTGTTCAACAAACTCTTTCACCTGGTTTTCCATGCGAAAACACCAGCAGTACTCTTGTAATCGTTGCAAAGTTGCCACCGTACCCCGATGTCCCGCCCCTTGCATATGAGCACAGACCATCAGACGTTGTTGTAGTTCTGTGGCATCTTCAGGAATTAACATGACCTCGCGCCCCTTCACCGTGGTTCGGAAAATTCCTTCGCCATCCTTAACGACCTTTGCATGCGGCGCCACGAAAACCTCCGCTCCATGCGCCCTAGTTCTGACTTGTTCGTGCGCACTGTGCTGAACTCGACGAATAACCTCTTTCGACGGCATCGTGTCGTCAGATTCGCTCGGCGCAAACACAGCCACAGCCCTTACCTTCACTGCAGGAACGTTGACCCACCTCGACAGCAAGTCCCCTCAGCAGTTTCTCTCGCCAGAGATGTGCATGGTGGAGTATTGGAACTGCGCCAACACCATCTTCCACTGCTCCAGACGGTGGGAAGTAGTCTTTGGCAACGACGACACGCACGCATCAGGATTGCATATGTACGCGAGATTGCGGTGGTCGGTGTATACACTAACACCGCCCGACAGCAGGTAGTCCAGCCGCTTGCACGTGCTAACGATGGCGAAACCCTCTTTGTCAATAGTCGCCCACCTCATCTGAGAGCCCTTGAACGTACCACTGAGGAAGGCGAGCGGCTCGTGGGTCATATGTTCCACGGACACTCCGCGCTCCAGCTCTTCCTGTGGCACCTGCCTCAAGAAACTACCCCAATGCTCTTCAGACGCATCGGGAAACATCAGCACAGCAACACCACCCTTCGGATATGACAACGCCACCGCATGTTCCACCAAATCCTGTGTCGATATCCAAGCCTCAACCATGCCG